ATTTGTTTCATTACAATTTTAACATGATCGCCACAAACCCCTTACCCAAGGAGGCTCCCTTGGCCCTTATCACAGTCTTGCCTAAACCAGGAAAAGATCTCCTCTATTGTGGGAACTATAGGCCCATTTCCTTGTTAAATTCAAATTCCAAGATCCTAGCTAAACTCCTTGATGTACGCTTTCGAGGATCATCTGACATCACTCATTCGCCCAAACCAAACATGCCTCATAGTAGTCCATGAGATTTGAGATAACATTATTAGAGCTTTACATATTTTGCACTGGGCTAAACATGGCTCAGAATGGACACCCTGTCCTATACATGATATCAATGGAAGTCGAAAAGGCTTTTGATAGGGTGAATTGGGTGTATATGGGAGAACTACTAAAGAGGGTGGGTCTGGGCAAATAGATCTTGGCTCTATATTATGGCTCCCAAGCCAGGGTGAAGGTCAACGGGACACTGTCAGAGCCCTTCTGCATTCAGAACAGGACCGGACGGGGGTTTCCACTATCGCCATTACTTTTTGCCTTAGTCTCACAGCCCTCCTCATGGAATTGTCTGCTTCCTTACAACAATTGTATCAGTTCTTGTGGCGGGCAGGTTCCCTAACATCTCCCCAGCCCCCATAACCTTTTTATGTTCTTAACTATGGCAGACTCTTCAAGGTGGCCTTTTTTCATAAAGCCATGGCATTAGTGAGGATATTAAACTGGCACCATGACTCCTCAACCAAATTATGGGTTCAATTAGAAAAAACTATGATATGCAGAAACTTAGTAAGTGCCCCATTGATATCTACAGTTGATAGGGGACTTTCAAACTGGACATTTTCTCCAGCAGAGACAACCCTCACCCTGTGAGATAATATAAATGCAAATAGTGTATTTGCTGCTAGACTTCCCCTTTGGTGCCTCTAGGAGGTTTCCCTTGGCTTTCGTCGGGTGAAGATGTTGATTTTTTTTCCAAGCTTGGGGGGGCAGATGGGGCACCTCTTGTGCCTTTATCCCTCCTAATGGGCATCTTCTAGTTTTATATGCATTTAGATCTGATGGACTCTTGGAGGTGTCAACAATTGCCTGACCTTTTTGGTAAGTTATCACCCAAGGTATGGACCTGCAACAATCTCTTCCCATTTGAATCTATGTGTACAATGTACTCTAGACACCTTCTTTGCTTTATGCACAAGCTCATAATGAGAGCTCATTCAGTGAAAATCCCATATTACAGTAAAGAATACGATAAATAATTTGGGGTTGAAAGTCCCCCCCGATCTAGAAAATCACCAGATTAGCCCATGTATCATCCATCAGCACCTAAATTCCAGAATCATCTTTCAGATTTCTGCCTAGATGGTATAGGACCCCCTCTTTGTTGACTCAAATGTTCCCTCGATCTGACTTCAGATGTTTAGTTGATGCTGCAACCAGAAGAGCACCTTTCTTCACCAATGGTGGTCCTGTCCCAAAATTATAGGCTTCTAGGAAGAAAACACGCCCTGAATACAAACGACAACCCTTACACCAGTTCAGTCACAGTTTTTTGATTCATGATATACCTTGCTCCTTTAAATCATGTGAGAACAGTATAACTATGTACATATTAAACACTGCAATAAACCCGATTTTCAGATACTGGAAACAGGCAATTTGCCCTACGGTTGCTACATGGCAAAGAAAGGTGAATACCATTATGGAGGCAGGCTGGTGGATTCATGATTTTAAGAATAAGCATAATAAATTCAAGGGTACATGATCGGGTTGGTTTTACTATTCATATGGGTTACCAGACACCTAAGGCTCTACTTGCTTCTAATAACCTCCAATGCAACCGGTGTGTACTCCTCATACTAGTCCTTGTTGTTAAGCAACCTTTCGACCTATTGTACGTGATCATTGACACATGACACATGACGTTCAATTTTTTTTTTAGACTGCAAGTCTCAATATAATTATTTTATGTATGCATATTTCCAAGTTCCTTTTGGGTGTAATGTTTCGTTATGTCTTTTCTTTTCCTTCTTTTTTCTCATTTTCAATTGTATTGCAGGAGCCATTGTGCCTTACTTACTAAGTTTGTCACTTCACTTCAATTGAAGTCCTGTAGAAGGTCATAAGCAAATCCCACTATTCCTTATATGCCTTGTATAAGTTGTGACTACTATCAAGACGTCAGTTATCTGCTGATGTACATCAATTCACTCTTGACATTTCTTGGTCCACTGGTAGTGTAAAATCTCAACAAAAGTGAAAAAAAGAAGAAAAAAAACAAAACAATCTTTTGTAGTGAACCGCTCCCGGTGAGATCATTCGAGGTTTTTAGTGTGTTCCTGTGATGTTTATTTATAATCATCAGCACAGTGCAGACCTTTGTTACACTGATCCCAACCTTCTTCCTAACTGACTTAAAGTTTGTTCCACTAAACCACATGTGAAAAACAGTCAGCCTGTCAAGTCATTTCATGTGGCCCTCGCACCTCTACTGCAGCTGCAGCACCCCCCTCGTATCCGCCACACCTTGTCTCCGCAGTTGGCAGCAGAGAGGAGGACAGAACTCCTCTGCCAGATTCAGTGCTTCTCTGTGAATATGCAGAGAGGCTGTTCTCTGTCCAGGGGCGGACTGACAACTCATGGGGCCCCTGGGCAATAGGGGAACATGGGACCCCTGTGTCCACGCCCACACTCAAACCACACCCAAAAAAGCCTATGAAAGGTACCAGGGGCATCTCATGGGGCCCCCTACTGACCCCGGGCCCTTGGGCAGTGCCCGAGTTCTCGAATGGTCAGTCCGCCCCTGTCTCTGTCCCCCAATCTCAGCAGTCAGCAGCAGAATGGAGGACAGAACCTCCTCCTACAGATCCTTCACCTCTCTGTGATGCTGCAGCACCCTCTCGTCTCTGTCTCCCCTGTCTCAGCATTCAGCAGGCTCTGGTAGCTGACTCCAGCCCTCCTCTGATCCCCCTCCAGACTCTGAACTTTCTGCTTCCCAGCTCTGCTCCCAGCTTCTTTCCAGCTGCAGTACAAGATGTAAGGAGGGTGCGCTGTGATGTGGACATCTAGTTTTACAGATACAACCAGCACTTTAAGGGCAACCATAATCCTGATACGATCCATAATGAAATTAAAATTGACTCTCCGGAACTAAACTGTTGTAAGTGCAGGACATTTATGGACCTGTCCAGGGGCATATTTACCACAAGGCAATCGAGGCATTTGCCTAGGGCGGTATTTTTCAGGGGGGCAGCGCCCACACATGGCAGCTGGTGACTGAGCATGGGGAGAAGGTGAGGCACAGGCACAGCAGTGTGGGCTGCTGAAGGGTTTCCAACACTCATTCCTGGCTCACTGTCTGAGATCAGGGCAGAAGGAAGACGTCGGGTTTCCTGATCATGGCTCCCGGGGTGGCCGGTGAGTGCTGGAATCTCTCTCTCCCCAACAGGGGCAGACTGACAACTCATGGGGCCCCCGGGCAATAGGGGATCATGGGGCCCCTGTGTTCTTGCCCAAACTCAAAAAAGCCTATGAAAAAGGTACCAGGGGCATCTCATGGGGCCCCCTACTGACCCCGGGCCCTCAGGTAATGTCCGAGTTTCCAAATGGTCAATCCGCCCCTGCTCCCCAACCCCCCTCTGATTTTACTCTTGCCTTGAGTGGCACGCAACCAAAATACACCACCGGACCTGTCACCTAGTTTTCCCATACCATGATCATCGAGGACCAGCCACCACCAGGAGATGGCAAGTGATATCATGTGACAGGCCTAAAGACTTCTGGAAAAGATAAGTATAATAAAAAAAACTGGCCTCTGGGGGAAGGAGGATCCTGAAGGATGGGTCCAGCACTGGTATTTACCCAACACTTACACCCCGGTCACACACCGAGCTGACTTTGAAATCGTGCGACTTCACTGGATTTCAAAGTCAGATGTCATTCCGACTCGAGGTGTGACTTGCAAGACATCTGCGGTTCGCAAGACACAAATGTCTATGCAAGTCGCACCTGAAGTAGCGCATGCACTACTTTAGGAATCAATTCGGCTCCAACCAAGTCGGAATCACACCGATATGACCACTTTAATTGCGGACAATAGGGTTTCGACTTGCCATGTGAATTGAAACTCGAATGGCATGGAAAATTGCATGGCAAGTCGCATCCAGTGTGACCTTTACTGTACCCTTAACAATACTATACTCTACAAATTAGCCCTTGACATTCACAAAAGAATTACAGTTTTATAGTATTTTTACTATTACAGTATTTTGATACGAATAAATCACAGTGCAGGGCTAAAAACCTTCATAAAAGTGACTCAGTTAATAAATCAATAATGAGTGATAATAAATGAACTTCATTATCACTCATTATTGATTTATTAACTGAGTCACTTTTATGAAGGTTTTTATTAAGGTTTTATTTGGTTACCTTTTGTGCATAGCTGCTTCAATTAGTGCGCTCGCTTACTTTTACCCTTTTTTAGTATTTTGATACGGTTAACCATCCCCCCCTCCTCAAAAAACTCCACTCTCTTGGCCTCTGAGACTCTGCTCTCTCCTGGTTCTCCTCCTACCTTTCGCAGCGCTCCTTTAGCGTTACCTATAATGCTGCCACCTCCTCTTCACTCCCTCTTTCTGTAGGGGTCCCTCAAGGTTCCATCCTTGGACCCCTTCTCTTCTCCATCTACACCTCCTCCCTTGGTCACTTGATAAACTCCCATGGCTTTAAGTACCATCTCTATGCTGATGACACACAAATCTATCTTTCTACCCCTCACCTCACCCCTTCAGTCTCCTCCTCACCTCACCCCTTCAGTCTCCTCTCGCATTACTAACCTACTAAGTGACATATCGGCATGGATGTCACTCCACTTCCTCAAACTCCATCTTTCCAAAAATGAGCTCTTAGTATTCCCCCCAGCCCGTGCCCCCTCCCCTGACTTCTCCATCAAGATCAATAACTCAATCATCAGTCCCTCCCCTCATGCCAGGGTACTAGGGGTAATCCTAGACTCCCATCTGTCCTTTGAGCCCCAAATCCAATCGCTGTCCAAATCTTGTAGACTTCACCTCCGCAACATCTCCAAGATACGCCCGTTCCTAACCCTGGAAACTACTAAGCAACTTATCCACTCCCTTGTTATATCTCGCCTTGACTATTGTAACTCCCTCCTCATTGGCTGACCTCATCGCAGGCTATCCCATCTTCAGTCTATCATGAATTCTGCTGCCAGACTCATCCACCTTACTAACCGTTCTGTATCCGCCACCCCTCTCTGCCAATCCTTCCACTGGCCTCCACCCAGTGTCCTCCACCCCTCTCTGCCAATCCCTCCACTGGCCTCCACTCAGTGTCCTCCATCCCTCTCTGCCAATCCCTCCACTGGCCTCCACTCAGTGTCCTCCATCCCTCTCTGCCAATCCCTCCACTGGCCTCCACTCAGTGTCCTCCACCCCTCTCTGCCAATCCCTCCACTGGCTTCCCATTGCCCAACGGATAAAATTCAAAACATTAACAATAACATATAAAACCATTTATAACTCTTCCCCAAATTACATCACCAAACCTGTCTCCAAATACCACCCAAACCGTACTCTCTGCTCATCGCAAGACCTCCTACTCTCTAGCTCCCTTGTCTCCTCCTCCCATGCTTGTCTCCAGGACTTCTCCAGAGCTTCCCCCATCCTCTGGAACTCTCTACCCCAATTTATCAGACTATCGCCTACTCTGCTCACGTTTAGGTGACCTCTGAAAACCTCTCTTCAGGGAAGCCTATCCTGCCTTCACCTAATAATGGAATCTTCTACTCTTCCTATCAGTCCATCCCCCACAGTTACTACCTTTTGTACTTCTAGCCCCTCCCTCCTAGATTGTAAGCTCCCAGGATCAGGACCCTCCTAACCCTCTTGTATTGAACTGTATAGTTGCTGTATTGTCTCCCGTTATATTGTAAAGCGCTGAGCAAACTGTTGGCGCTATATAAATCCTGTATAATACTAATAATAATGTCTGCAGATGAGTACAATCATGATAATACCTGCAATGATATTTATGATGACAATAATAATAAGGTGAGTATAATTATGAGCATTACATTTGCCTCGGTCCCCCATCCAGAGTCCTTTGGGTGAAAATTTCTGCAAGAAGAATGCCATCTGCCACATTTTACATCCGAAGATCTCTAGCTTGGGGGATGGAGGTAATGGGGGATCACATAGTTACACTTACCTCACCCATATATATATAATTTTTTATTTATTTACTTTTTTAAACAGACTCTTGTGCACAAAATGTGTGAATCTGGGTAAACATTGCATAAATCTAAACTGTCTACTAAAGTAATCGGAGATTGAAAAAAGGAGGAAAAGATGGCTAATTTTGGTCACATTCAACTGGGTTTGTTCTGTAGTGTTGAAAATATTTTGCTGCTTGTCCCAGCTTCAACATTATAGAATTCCATTGGAATCTGAGCTATAGTACCATGACCTGGATGGATGAAAACCTTCACAGAAATATTAGGAATAGAAAATTCTAACCACTGACACTGTAATAAAAACATATAGATGTATGTGCTCAGATTTCAGTGGCTGAATGGTTAGCACTTCCACCTGCCAGTGCTAGGGTTATTGGTTCAAATCCCAACCATGGCACCACCTGCCTGGGTTTGCATGTTCTCCCTGTGCCTGTGTGAGTTTCTTCCTTCACCCAAATACATGCTGGTAGGTGAATTGGCTCTTATCTAAATTGACCCTAATATATGTATGAATGTGAGTTATAGGGACCTTAGATTGTACACCACTTGAAGGTTAGGGACTGATGCAGGGGCAGACTGACCATTTGGAAACTCGGGCACTGCCCGAGGGCCTGGGGTCAGTAAGGGGCCCCATCAGATGCCCCTGGTACCTTTTTCATAGGCTTTTTTGAGTTTGGGCAAGGACACAGGGGCCCCATGATCCCCTTTTACCCGGGGGCCTCATGAGTTGTCAGTCCGCCCCTGGACTGATGTGAATGTGTAATATATATGTAAAGCACTGCATAAACTGATGGTGCTGCATAAGTACCTGTAAAAAAAAAACTAATAGAGTATAACTTCAGTATTTAATAAATATCTAGTTATATAATATTCATAGAATTAATATTTTTTTGGATTTGTTAAAAAATAATATTTTCATCATGTTTTTAATAGTAATAATAATGTTGATATTATTATTATTAATAATAATTCAAATTGCTAAATACATAAGGACATTCGTAGATCAACAATATTTTATTACACATAGGGGGAGATTTACTAAAGCTGGTTCACTCAGAACCTCTTGCACCCGTGCATGGTAGCCAATCAGTTTCTACCCTCAGCTTGTTGAATTAAGCTTTAGCAAGAAAACCTGTCAGCTGATTGGTTTCCATGCAGAACCGCATGAGATTCTGAGTGAACCGGCTTTAGTTAATAAACCCCATAGTGTTGAAAATGTTCTGCTGCTTATCCAGCTTCAACATTACAGAAAACCGTCACAGAAATATTAGGAATAGATAAGGCTGACCATTGACAATGTGATAAAAAAATAAATATATATATATATAATTATTACTATTATACAGGATTTATATAGCGCCAACAGTTTGCTCAGAGCTTTAAAATATAACGGGAGACAATACAGCAACAATACAGATCAATACAAGAGGGTTAGGAGTGCCTGATCCTGGGAGCTTACACTCTAAGAGGGAGGGTATATAACTGCACCATTTAATAGTAAATATCTAGTTATATAATATTCATAGAATAATTTTTTTTTTTTTTTTAAAACAGGATTTATTATAAATAATATTTTCATCATGTTTTAATAGTAATAATAATATTGATGTTATTATTATTATTATTATTATTATTAATATTATTAATAATAATAATAATAATAATAATAATAATAATTAAAAATGCTAAATACATAAGGACATTCGTAGATCAACAATAACTTATTACACATAGGAGGGAGATTTTCTAAAGCTGGTTCACTCAGAACCTCTTGCACCCGTGCATGGTAGCCAATCAGTTTCTACCCTCAGCTTGTTGAATTAAGCTTTAGCAAGAAAACCTGTCAGCTGATTGGTTTCCATGCAGAACCGCATGAGATTCTGCGTGAACCAGCTTTAGTTAATAAACCCCATAGTGTTGAAAATGTTCTGCTGCTTATCCAAACTTCAACATTACAGAAAACCTTCACAGAAATATGAGGAATAGATAAGGCTGACCATTGACAACGTGATGAAAACAAAAAAAAAACAAAACAAAAAAAATAAATAAAATATATATATATATATATATATATATATATATATATATTATTATAAATACAGGATTTATATAGCGCCAACAGTTTGCTCAGAGCTTTAAAATATAACGGGAGACAATACAGCAACAATACAGTTCAATACAAGAGGGTTAGGAGTGCCCTGATCCTGGGAGCTTACACTCTAAGAGGGAGGGTATATAACTGCACCATTTAATAGTAAATATCTAGTTATATAATATTCATAGAATTCATTTTTTTTTTTAAAACAGGATTTATTAAAAATAATATTTTCATCATGTTTTAATAGTAATAATAATATTGATATTATTATTAATAATAAATAATAATTAAAAATGCTAAATACATAAGGACATTCGTAGATCAACAATATCTTATTACACATAGGAGGAAGATTTACTAAAGCTGGTTCACTCAGAACCTCTTGCACCCGTGCATGGTAGCCAATCAGTTTCTACCCTCAGCTTGTTGAATTAAGCTTTAGCAAGAAAACCTGTCAGCTGATTGGTTTCCATGCAGAACCGCATGAGATTCTGCGTGAACCAGCTTTAGTTAATAAACCCCATAGTGTTGAAAATGTTCTGCTGCTTATCCAAACTTCAACATTACAGAAAACCTTCACAGAAATAGGAATAGATAAGGCTGACCATTGAGAATGTGATAAAGAAATAAATATATATATATAAATTATTATTATTATACAGGATTTATGGCGCCAACAGTTTGCTCAGAGCTTTAAAATAGAACAGGAGACAATACAGCAACAATACAGTTCAATACAAGAGGGTTAGGAGGGCCTGATCCTGGGAGCTTACAATTAGAGATGAGCGAATTTCTCAAAAATTCGATTCGGCTGATTCGGCGAATTCCAGTGTGAAATTCGATTCGATGCGAATTTCTTCGCTACGAAGATGACTTATAAAAAGGGTTTCTAGGCTTCAGAGAGCCTTTAAATTAGTGCAGAACACTGTACCTTTAATTTAAATGCCCTTGGAGATGAGGAAAGAGAAGGAGAAGGAGAAGGAGAAGGATGAGAAGAAGGAGAAGGATGAGAAGAAGGAAAGGAGAAGGATGAGAAGAAGGAGAAGGAGAAGGATGAGAAGAAGGAGAAGGAGAAGGATGAGAAGAAGGAGAAGGATGAAGAAGAGAAGAAGGAGAGAAGGATGAGAAGAAGGATGAGAGAAGGAGAAGGATGAGAAGAAGGAGAAGGATGAGAAGAAGGAGAAGGAGAAGGATGAGAAGAAGGAGAAGGAGAAGGATGAAGGAGAAGATGAGAAGGAGAAGGATGAGAAGAAGGAGAAGAGAAGGATGAGAAGAAGGAGAAGGAGAAGGATGAGAAGAAGGAGAAGGAGAAGGGATGAGAAGAAGGAGAAGGATGAGAAGAAGGAGAAGGATGAGAAGAAGGAGAAGGATGAGAAGAAGGAGAAGGATGAGAAGAAGGAGAAGGAGAAGAAGGAGAAGGATGAGAAGAAGGAGAAGGATGAGAAGAAGGAGAAGGATGAGAAGAAGGAGAAGGAGAAGGATGAAGAAGGAGAAGGATGAGAAGAAGAAAAGGAGAAGGATGAGAAGATGGAGAAGGAGAAGGATGAGAAGAAGGAGAAGAAGGAGAAGGAGAAGGGATGAGAAGAAGGAGAAGGAGAAGGATGAGAGAAGGAGAAGGAGAAGGATGAGAGAGAAAGGAGGGATGAGAAGAAGGAGAAGGAGAAGGATGAGAAGAAGGAAAGGAGAAGGATGAGAAGAAGGAGAAGGAGAAGATGAGAAAGAAGGAGAAGGAGAAGGATGAGAAGAAGGAGAAGGATGAGAAGAAGGAGAAGGAGAAGAGAAGAAGGATGAGAAGAAGGAGAAGAAGAGAAGAAGAGAAGATGAGAAGGATGAAAGAAGGAGAAGGATGAGAAGAAGGATGAAGAGAAGGATGAGAAAGGAGAAGAATGAGAAGGAGAAGGATGAGAAGAAGTGAGAAGAAGGAGTTTTGTGACAGTTTCTGTCTATTTCTGACAGTTCTGGACATTCACTCCATAGAAGGTTTCAAAGAAGGCTGTATGGAGGGAATGTCATGGAACTGTCAGA